GGGGGGGGGGGGGCGCAGCCAGCACAGCACGCACAGTCAGTACATGTGATCCTGTATTGTGTGTAGGGGTTGTGACGGGATTCTTTCACTCAGCATGTTTTCAAGGGTTGTTCATGCTATGACATGTATGTTGTTGGTTTTTTCGTGTTTTTTTAAATCCTCACCCGAGGATATTTCTCCATTGACTTTTAGGGAGAGTGGAAGAGAGAGGAAAAGACAGAGAGAAACATCGATGTGAGAGAGACACATCGATTGGTTGCCTCCTGCACGAGCCCCGACCAGGGCCCAGGCCAGGGAGGAGTCTGCAATCAAGGTATGTGCCCTGGACCGTAATCGAACCCGGGATCCTTTGGTCCCCAGGCTGACACTCTATCTACTGAGCCAAACTGGCTAGGGCTGTTGTGACATGTATGAATGCTTCATACCATTTTATGGCCCTATGGTATTCTTTCCTGTGGATATACCACATTTTGTTTATCCGTTCACCAGTTGATGGACACTCGCATTATTTACACTTTGGGGCTGTTAGGAATAATGCTGCTATGAATCCGTGTCCAAGTCTTTGTGTGGACATGTTTTTAATTCTTTTGGTGTGCACACAGGGGTGGAAATACCGGGTCCACAGGTAACTCCTACGTTGAACTGTTTGAGGAACAACCAGGCTGTTTTCAAGTTCCCATCAGCAGGGCACGAGGGTTCTGATCCCCCCACGTCCTCACCAACTCTTGTCACCGTGTTGGACTTTGTGATTCCTGCCGTCCTAGTGCATACTGAGTGGTATCTCGTTGTGATTTTGGTCTGCGTTTCCTTCAGGACTGATGATGCTGAGCATCTTTTCCTGTCCTCATTGGCCGTTGTGTATTTGGGGAGTGTCTGCTCAGATCCTTTGCCTATTTTTGGTTGGGTTGTCTTATTGTTGTGTTATAAGAGTCCTTTATATATTATAGATAAACGTCCTTTATCGGGCATGATTTCCCCATATTTCCCCCACTATCTAGCCTGTCCGTGCACTTTCCTCACAGCGTCCTGGAGCACACATCTTTTCGATTCTGATGAAGTCCAGCGCATCTATTTCCCTTTTGTTGCTTGTGCTTTCGGTGTCATATCCGAAACTCCAAATCTGAGCTCATGAAATGTACTCATGTTTTCTTCTAAGAGTTTTTTAGTTTTAGCTCTTAAACTAATTGGATCCATTTTGAGTAACATTTTTATATGGTCTCTATTTTATATGGTCTTTATATTAGCTTTTTAAAATTAAATGTATTGGGGTGACGTTGGTTAATTAAGTTATATAGGTTTCAGGTGTACATTTCTGTAATACGTCATCTGTGTACTGCATTGTGTGCCCACCACCCAAAGCAGTGGTTCTCAACCTTGGCTGCACATTAGAATCACCTGGGAATCTTTTTAAAATCCTAATTTCTGGGCCTCATCCTCCAGAAATTCTGTTTCTTTGTTACTAATGTTGTGGCCTCACACCATAACAAAGAAACAGAATTTCCGGAGGATAAGGCCCAGAAATCAGGATTTTAAAAAGATTCCCAGGTGATTCTATTTTTTAAAAAAATATGTTTTATTGATTTTTTACAGAGAGGAGGGGAGAGGGATAGAGAATTAGAAACATCGATGAGAGAGAAACATCGATCAGCTGCCTCCTGCACACTCCCCACTGGGGATGTGCCCGCAACCAAGGTACATGCCCTTGACCGGAATCGAACCTGGGACCCTTGAGTCCGCAGGCCGACGCTCTATCCACTGAGCCAAACTGGTTAGGGCCCAGGTGATTCTATTGTGCAGCCAAGGTTGAGAACCACTGACCCAAAGTCAGAGCATCTTCCATCTCCATGTAATTGATTCCCATTACCCTTTACTGCCTCCCCCGCCGCCTTCTGGTAGCCACCATACTGTTGTCTCTGTCCATGAGTCTCAGTTTTATACCCCACATGTGAGTGAAATCACATGGTTCTTAGCTTTTTCTGTCTGACTTATTTCTCTTAGCATGATATTCTCAAAGTCCATCCATGTTGTCACAAATGGCAGTATTTCATCTTTTCTATGGCCGAGCAGTGTTCCATAGCATATATGTACCACATCTTCTTTAATCACCCATCGAAGGACACTTCAGTTGTTTTCATATCTGGCTACTGTGAATAATGGTGCAAGGACATAGGAGCACATATACCTTTGTGAGTAAATGTTCTCAAATTTATTAAATTTTTATATACCTTTTTTAAGAGTCCAAATTCATTCTTTTGCAGATGGCAGGAGAACCTTCTCCCAGAACCTTCTGTTGAAAAGGCTATTTTTCCCATTGAGTAGTCTTGGCACCTTTGTCAAAAATCCGCTGGCCACGGGTATATGGGCTTATTTCTGGAAGCTGTTTTCCATTCCACCGAGCTGTATGTCTATCCTAGGCCAGTACCACACTGTCTTCATTACCTTGTTTCCTGTGAATATTTTTAATTTATGAAATGCAATTTTGAAAATACAAAATTATCTACCACTTTTATGTTATTAAATTAACTGTCAATTCATGTGTTTAATTATTAAATCAGACTCTATCCCTATCTAGTAATAGCAAAAGCATAGGTGAACATATTGTTGCTGATGCATATTAATAAGATTTGGCTTTTTTTTTTTAAACTTTTTTTTTCTACTGTAGCAGTTTGTTTTGGGTAACCAAATATTTTTTTATCCTCACCCTAGGATGTTTTTTTCCATTGATTTCTTTAGAGAGAGTGGAGGGCAGGAGGGGGGGGGGGGGGGAGAGAGAGAGAGTAAGAGAGAGAGAGAAAAGAGAGAGAGGGAGAGAGAGAAAGACACATCAATTGGGTTGCCTCCTGCACGGCAAACCAGATCCCAAACAAAAAAAAAAAAAAATTGATCTGCACTGAGGATGTGCCTGGCTGGAGAACAACCGAGGACCTTCAGTCGGAGGGCC